TCTTCAGAGGTACGTCACTCAGTCCAAATTCTTGATTAACAGTTGAGCGAAGAGGAAATGAAATTTACAGTCTGTAAAAGATGAAGAAGTTTAAGGAAAATGTGGACAATAGATTTAGCTATAAAATAAAGATAGCTTAAAGATGTTTAAAATGCTTGGAATTCAGCAAATAAAATTCTAGCTTATCAGACTGGATCTTACATTGTTTATGCGAGTGCTGGAAAATTGAAAACTATCATTTTACACTTAAATGTAATTCTCCTGCTTTAATGAATATGCCATATGTTTACAGATGACATCATTTCAATGATATGAATGAAATTGTAAATTCCTTTGGAAAAAAATCATTTTGTTGTTTCTCTTTTCAAACTATAATTAATATGAAAAACGCAAGAATAATATTGAAACACTGACTGTTTTCATAGCATGTCCAATTCTTATATATTATCTGTCAAGTGCAATTTGGATCTTTGCAACAGTAATTTCCAACTTTTTGTTGAGTACATCTTTTTGCTGTTTTCGTACTTCCTTTTAAAAAGTTGTTATTTAAACCAAAATTTATTTAAAGTTTTTATGCATTGATTTTTTTGTTTCAGATGTTTGCAGGCAACAGTTGGAGGTATTCACCCGACACAACCTCCTGTGATCCGAATCTCTGCCATCAGGGCAGTTTACGGTTACTGTGACTTCCTGAAAACCTCGGAAAATACTCAACTTCTAGTACCGTTCTTGCCAAACATCACAGAGGGACTTGTTAACGTTGCGACACAATTTTCCTCGGATGTTTTGTCACTGTGTTTAGAAACATTGTCAATAGTTCTATCTGTAAGTTGGATTATGTTTTAATATTTGTAAACCTTATTAACCACTATATAGCGATTAACTTTGCTGAAATTTTTCAATTGACTTGTCTTGCTTACAATATGAATTGTCCATTGTTAATTAATAAGGGATTTCACAATATAAATAATGGCAATATTTCAGCAACAATGAGTCGAGAGTTCTGTCAGACTTTACAGGTATGAAGTCTTAACTGACTTCAATGGTGATATAAGCAAGTCACTGCAGCTGCTAACATTAAGAGGCCTAGATTGACTTATCACGTCATGTATATATACCACCCTGATTGAATATTACAAAATATAGAAGATATGGAAAACCCTGATTGAATATTACAAAATATAGAAGATATGGAATATGACACTGGTTCAGTATTACAATGTATGGTTTATATAATATCTTATTAACCTTGATTCTGCCATCGGCTACCCGTGAAATAAGAGCAGACCATCTGATTGTTGTCTGTGCAATTAGCTTTTCAGTCAGTACATGACCTGATATTGAAATTACCTGCAAAAATAGTGAATGGTTTCGTCCAGGTTGAAAGACGGACAAGTTTAGCATGATAAGGGTTAATAACATGCCACCATTTATTTCTTCTTGGATTTGAGCAACACATTTACCATAATATATAAATCATTATAAAGTGTATTTAGATGTGATACCTATGATGAAATATACTAAGGATATAATTATATAATAGATTTAACATTCTGGATTGTAACAATAGATATTGAAATATTACAGGTCGATAAAGCATTCACTGCATCATGTGAGTCAAAAGTCACACCTCTGACAATAGCTGTGTTCTTAAAATATTCCAGTGGTAAGTTTTTTAAAATATTCTAGTGGTGACCTTGTGATAAATTCTAATAATGTTGGTAAAATAATAGTGGTAAAACATTCAAGTGGTAAGTTCTTAACATATTCTAGTGGTAAGTTTTAAATATATTTTAGTGTTAAGTTCTTAAAATATTATAGTGGTAAGGATTCAAGAATAACCATGAAAAAAATGATTGGTTATAAAAGGTCTATCGGCGGGTATCATGAAGATACATGTAATTGAAAAAGATGGAATGGTGAATAATGAAAGTGCATTTAGAAGGCATGAAAGAGGAAACACCCACAAGGAAAAGGCATGCTACTGACTGTGATAAAGTGTCAGAAGTGATAGAAATCTTTGTTAAATTGACATGAAACTTGGTGTTTGGGCATGAAACTTGATGTTTGCAGGAAATTTATCTCAGAACTTGACCTTGAAAATGGTTGAACCCTGTAAATGGTTTTGTGAAGATGAAAAAGACAATAAATCTGAGTAAGATAACCAATGTGGTAAGAGTTAAGTTGATATTTTTTCAGATCCTGTAGTAACTAGTATAGTTCAGGAGATCTTCAAGGAACTGGCATTGAATGACAGTTGTATGGGTCCGTTACAACATAGATTGTTACCTACCATTGTCAGTATACTGCAGGCTAGTCCAGATAAAGTTGCCGTTGGTTTGCCTTCTGTAAGTGTTACATGTTTTCATGCTCCCTGAAAAATTACGTCCCAAATTCTTGTCTGGAACATAACTTTGTTATTTGAAGTCTCATTTTAAAACTATTTCACAGAAATGATCACCATTTTGAGACGATGTGTCGCGCGCAACAGTTAGGTCGCTACCTTGAAGGTCAAGGTCACAGCATGACCTTGCAGCAAAATCATGTCTGGCCCATAACTTCGTTATTTGAAATTGGATTTTAAAACTATTTCACAGAAATGATCACCATATTGAGACGATGTGTCGCGCGCAACATTTGGGTCGCTACCTTGAAGGTCAAGGTGACAGCATGACCTTGCAGCAAAATCGTGTCCGGCCTTTAACTTCGTTACTTGAAGTCGGATTTAACAACTATTTCACAGAGATGATCACCATATTTAATCGACGTTTCGCATACAACATTTGGGTTGTTACCTTGAAGGTCAAGGTCACAGCATGACCTTTTAGCAAAATTGTGTCCAGCCCATAACCATGTTAATTGAAGTCGGATTTTACAACTATTTCACAGAAATGATCACCATATTGAGACAATGTGTCGCGCGCAACATTTTGGTTGTTTTTACACTTTGTGACATAACTCTGACACTACAAGAGGTATACCTTCCTGTGTCCAAAACCTTTTCGGGGAGCATCACCCGGTTCAACCGGCTCTTGTCTTTATTGTTACTGTAGAAACTGGCTATTTGTTAAAATCACAATAGATCTGTAAACTTTAAAGGCAGTCAGTCTTCATCTTAAGTATAAATATTTGGTTTAAACATATTTATTTAAGCTCGATTGTGAAACAAGTTCTTGCATTTTATATTAATCACTTTTGAGTCAGCTTCCTGGAACCAACCATTACCGGTGTCATATGAAGAAACATGGTGGTGACCTATTTAGGGTTCGAACCCATGATCCCTGTGTTGAGAGGCAGACATCTTAACCACTAGGTGGTCACCGCTCCCCTCTAGAAATATTTAATAAGTTATTATGAGTTTTTAGTAAGTTTGGTGATGTCTTGGATAAATCATTTCTGAATGCTAATTTTGCCTTTTCAAGCTAAATTTATAAAATGAACCTGATCTCTGTTGAATTTGGAACTCTTTAATTTTAAGTGTAAGGGATTGTAAAATATTAGAGATGAGTTACCAACTGTATAAAGCTTATTTAGACTGCTTGGATGTGTAGACTGGCCTGAACATATACTGGTGACAAGGGCAAGTTTTGATCAGCTGGTTAAGCATTACACAAATGATAAGTTGCTTTTGTTATACTGTTATCTAGGTGGCTCTAGATATGTTAGAGACTATTGTACGAAGTAGTAAAGTGCCAATATCTGATGAACTGATGAGTGCTTTCCCGGCTGCAGCTCACTGTACACTCAATACTGATGATAACTCTACAATGCAGGTAAAATCATTTGAATTGATACTACATTAAAAGCCACATTAAGCCATAAAATTTGATAAAATCTGTTTTCTGTTGAAAGAGCAAACATGTTTTTAATAGTGCTGTAACAATGGATGTAAAACATGTTAGTTGTTCATCTGATGAAAAATGCGCTGAATGTGAAATATTTTGTAACAAAGGTATTAAAATGTAAACAAAGTTGTATTTTTACTTCCATACAAAAAAATAATTACTATACTGTTGCGTCCCGTGCGGATGGCTCTTTAATAACTGCTGTAGACTGTTATATATGTTTTATTACTTAAGGCCGCTTCTCTATGCAATCTGTTCATGTACTTTTGTATAATAAGTCAGCTTTATAACAGCCTTGTGTTATTTTGCTTATGCAATTATAATAATTCACACCACAGACATATGCTGTATCATATATGCATTATTCACATACGCCTACTTTGAATAATGCTTGATAATCAGACACATACAGACAGGATGCGATCACAAACAAATGCTTATTAATAAAGCACTTAAAATTAATAAGCCTATGCAAGACTCATTTGCTGGTACCAATTAAGCAACTTTCAGCTTTTATGCGACTCAAAAAACGGACTGACAGACATCAGACGACACATTTTGGACTCCGCAGTAAATAACTTCATGGAATTATAAGTAAAATAAACAAATAACGTAAGAATGTTCAAGTTTAACTATTTAGATTTATTTATGTAAGCCCTTAACAATCAACCTTGCGCATTTGTAAAATCCGACAACAATAATATGAAATATCTCGAATTTCAATATACGATTGTGCTTACAAAATTAACGTTAAGATATGACTCAGATCGGGGCTGGCGCTTGTGTTATAAACAATAAATAAACTTATGCTCTAATTCGTTACACTCAAACGAGCATAAATCATTTACATTCTTTAATAATACACCTTTGAAATAATAAACAACACAACACAGAGTTTAAAGAGGCTAGAGGGAGTATTTGTAAGCCGTCTCCACTAACCGTTTATTTTCCCAACCAACAAAGACAAAATTCTGGATATAAATCTACATATCAATTTTTGTTAAGACAAAAATCCAAAAAAGCTTACATATGACTTATAGTAATAAATTTACTAAGCAAATTCATCTGTTAAAAAATGCCAAATACTTCGTGTAAAGGTAAAGAAATATAAACTTTCCAATATAACTGAATAAGAGAGTTTTGTAAAAACAGAAGTTTTTGGAAATGTTCGAAAAGTCAGGTTGCTGCGAGCGGGATACCCAACCCTAACTCCAACGTGGGAGGGGGAGGTATTGTTGAAGGATTAATCCAGGCTCAAGACCAGCGGCTCCTTCGAACCTACCTGACGTAAAACCCGAAATTTAGATGTCTAAAATTTTTTGTCATAATGGAAAAAGGAAACAAATTTTGAAAATTATAAATAGACGAAAACACAGATAATTTGTCACTGAAATAAACTCATTTCATGTACATAATTATATGCAAACAGAATAATAATTCACAATGAATCAAAACGGAATTAATTTTGAAAGTCCATTTTTTTTTTTTTTTTTTTTTTTTTTGCGTATAAAGACACACGTTTACTTTGCTCTGAGCTGTACATAATCCTGAAAAAGAAAACAATTGTAAGAAACATTTACATAACTTTCTGTATAATATGAGCGAAAATATTTCAATATTTTCGGAAATTTCACATCTAAACGGCTTGACAAATAAACCTCGAATGCCCGCTTTACTAATTACAAGAAACTCGTGCACTATTGCCGCCAAAAACATAACTTCCGATTACTTCCTTATAAGGAAATACTAAGTTACGGTGTATGATTCCGATAATAAATACATAGTTTTAGATATATTAATACTTAAACTTTAAAATGGAAAATGTTAAACAAAATAGAATTAATTTAACTCTCTTTTAATATAGATACTAATTCACCTAGAAAAATATACGCTAATTACTATTGCAAAACTTTTCCGGCATAGAATATTGACTTAAGTTTTATTTCTGACAATAGTTCTAATGTAAAAATAAAATAATTATTAAATTCTTGTTAAAGCTTCTTTAAGTAAATTTTGTACAGAAAAAATAAAATAAAGTTACTTTTCAATGTAAAATAATATTCTACTCTAATGAATACTGAGGTTCTCAGTTGCGGAGTCCTCGCTGCTAACAAAAATCTGCCTTTTATATACGTATTGCTAACAGTTTGCTAACGGTTTGCTAACAATATTTGAAACTTGTGAGTTTCTAACAAAATGCTAACAAAGAGGCACCGAAAGGGTTGCTAACAGTGCTAACACTGCTAACAGATAAAAAATTACGAGTTAAAATCACACTAAGCGCCATCAATTAAATTGACAGATCTAATATAAAAATAATAAGACTACACAATAACGAGGGATCGGTAAATGTGATGCAAAAATAAACAAACAAATTATTATTTTCGTATGCATAAATTTAACGCTCCCATAGGTAACCTCACTTGATAAATAGAAATAAAAACATGACGTAGTAATTACATGACGTCATCAAATCGTGCATAACCAACATGGCTGACAATAAACACTTCCGGGTTTTAGTAAACAGTAAAATTGCCGATATTAGCGTAAGGGTAAGCTTTCAACATTAATTTACATTGACAATCAATAGTATTTAACATTTTTACAACATATAAACCGTATATAACAGAAAATAAATATGCATAGGTTAACTAGAAGGTAAATAAGGTCGGTGAAATGCGGTGCATCACATTACCCCCCTCTTAACGAGGCAAAGTTCCATCTGCCTCACAAAATATAACAATCATGAATTATAAACAGTTAAGAAAAGCAAACTTGTACTTAATTTTCAAATAGTTAATCAAAATTTACTTATTGACATAATGTTAAAACTGACCTGAGTGTCCCTTTAATTCTTATATAAATAACAGTGTTCCTTTAACTTCTAAATTTTAATTCCACTATAAAAATTAAGTGTCTCTTCAGAAACTACCTGAATGTCACTATGGTTGTATTAAACCTTTCATATATAAATCAATTACTATTAAACAAATACAATCTAGTCCAAGACATACGAAATATACTACAGTTTATTCACTTTTAAATACTTATGTCTATGTCATCGGAATAATTCACTTGGTTTACAATCTAATATAGTCTCTTCCTCTCTCGACCCGCCTATGGCCATCCCTCGAACTTCCACCACTCTTCCTCTGTCGCTCCCGTTCCGCTGGTCTTTCTCGCTTATCATCTTTCTTCACATCTCTCTCTCGTCTCTCATGTTCCGCTGGTCTATCTCGCTTCTCGTCTTTCTTGACTTCTCTCTCTCGTCTCTCATGTTCCGCTGGTCTATCTCGCTTCTCGTCTTTCTTGACTTCTCTATCTCTCTCTTTTCTCTCATGCGCTTTTGCTGGTCCTGATTCACCTCTCACTTCTCGTACTTCCGGTCTCTTATTCTCTTTACTTCTATCTTCATTCTTTCCCTTTCTTTCTCTAAGTTCACTTCTCAGCTCCTTTACTTCTTTCTTCAGGTCATCCACTGATTTCTGTAAAGATTTTATCAAACCCGCGTTAGCTATCACTTGTTCTCCCACAATACTTCCGGTTTTTCTGATCATTTCTGACAGTATATTTGTAAATCTCATTTCTCGTTTACTGTTATCTTCTTCGTCCGATGAGGATGTTTCATCAGACGATGATGACGACTCTGACTCTGACTCTCTATACCTTTTCAGACTTTGTCTAACTCGCTTTCTTGCTCTACTATCTCCGTCCGCCTTTCTCTTCGTTTCTCTCTCTCCTCCCCGTTCTACCTCTTCTTCTTCCGTAATAATCTCCGCTTCCATGACTCTACTCTGTGTCTGTAAACTTACTTCTTTCTCCACTACATTTCTTCCATCCTCCTTCGCCATCTCTTTAACAAGTATCTCAGTCGCTTCATCCACTTCTTCCCTTGCCTGTTCCTCCACACCAACTGCACCACCCAAACTATCGTGACTATCTGCGCCTTTCTCTTCTCCCTCTTCTTCTGTGTTTTCCCCCTGTGAAACTTCCATCTTGTCATTCTCCTGCTTATCTTCTTCTTTGCCTCCTCTTTTGTTGATAGTTAAGTCTAACGCCATTGCCCCTATCTCCAACCCGTCACTCCTACTCTCCGTTACACTTGCGCACCTTACGATCCTTCTATTCTCATCTGTCCGTACGACTCTCAAATCTAACGCGCCACTAGTAATATCCAAACCATTCACTTCCTCCAACTCTGTTAACTTCTTCGAACTGGCCTTCACTTCTGCCGCCCTTCTCAAGTCAATTGGTCCATCTATATCAACTCCTTTCTCTACTTCCATCATTCTTCCACTGCTATTATCTTCTTCCTTTTCTTCCATCTCTTCTGTTCTTTTTTCACTTGTTCCACCCTCCTCAGCTAATGCTGCTCCTTCGCTCTCTTCACAATCTTCCTCTACCACGTTCTCGATATACTTGGATGCCATGTATATTTCCGGTAATTATACCCCCACCAAAAAATGTGGGGGGGGCTATAATGGATTCGCTTTGTCGCGTCGGTCGGTCCGTCCGTCGGTCCGTCTCCATTTTCGTGTCCGCTCTGTAAGTCCTACACTACTTGAAAGATTTTCTTCAAACTTGGCTCAAATGTTCACCTCAACAAAGGGATGTGCAGAACCCATATTGCCCATGTGTCAGTTCAAGGTCAAGGTCACAATTGAAGGTCAAATATCAAACACTATCAAATGTGTCCGCTCTGTAAGTCCTACACTACTTGAAAGATTTTCTTCAAACTTGGCTCAAATGTTCACCTCAACCAGGGGATGTGCAGAACCCATGTCGCCCATGTGTCAGCTCAAGGTCAAGGTCACAATTGAAGGTCAAATATCAAACAATCAAATATTACACAGTATGTCGTGTCCGCTCTGTAAGTCCTACACTACTTGAAAGATTTTCTTCAAACTTGGCTCAAATCTTCACCTCAACAAGGGGATGTGCAGAACCCATGTTGCCCATGTGCCAGCTCAAGGTCAAGGTCACAATTGAAGGTCAAATATCAAACAATCAAATATTACACAGTATGTTGTGTCCGCTCTGTAAGTCCTACACCAATTGAAAGATTTTCTTCAATCTTGGCTCTAATGTTCATCTCAACCAGGGGATGTGCAGAACTTATGTCACTCTTTTGCTGGCTTAAGGTCAAGGTCACACTTTAAGGTCAAAAATTGACTTAGATAATATTCTTAAATTTTAACATTTATTTGAATATTTCTAAATCTAGAAAAGGTATTTGCTTGAAACTTAAAATATTTTTGAAGGGTCACAATTCCGATATGCTGTTCGTTCAAGTTTCATAACTCTGTATTGCATTTTACCAAAGTTATGCCCCTTTTTAAGTCTTCAAATTTACATGCAATCAAATATTTGCCAATATGTTGTGTCCGCTCTATAAATCCTATACTAATGGAAGAATTTTCTTCAAACTTTACTCAAATTTTCAACTCAACAAGGTTATGTGCAGAATCCATGTCACCTTTGTGCCGGGTAAAGGTAAAGGTCACACTTGAAAGTCAAAAATTGACTTAGAAAATGTTCTTAAATTTTAACATGTACTTGAATAATTCTGAAACTAGCGCAGGCATTTGCTTGAAACTTAAAAGATATATGAGGTGTGGCAAATAAGATATGCAGGTCAAGTTTCATTACTCTGTATTGCATTTTGAAAAAGTTATGCCCCTTTTTAAGTCTTCAAATTTACATACAACCAATACTAGACAATATATTGTGTCTACTTAATAAATTCTATACTAATGAAAGGATTTTCTTCAAACTTTACTCAAATGTTCAACCAAACTGGGTGATGTGCAAAACCCATCTTACCCTTGTGCCAGATTAAGGTCAAGGCCACACTTGAAGGTCAAAAATTGACTTATAAATAAAATGTTTAATACATTGGGAAAATGAAAGGTTATTTGTAACTGTTTCGAACATGATTTGATAATATAAATTTATACTATTACCTGTACAATTAGTCTTTTTTTCACCAGAGATAATTTCTTTTTATGTATTTGTGCCACATTTTATTCCCTTAACCACCTTTCCAAGTGGTCTTCTGTCAAGGACATTGGTGGGGGTATGAATCGCATTCAGCGATAGTTCTAGTTCCATTTGTATGGCCTTATCAAACGCATTTGATGACCCTGGGGTTATAGTCTTTTTGTCCCACCACCTACTGCTCTCTTCCTTTGTTAACATTTTCCAATCTTTTTCTCCTACCATATACGGTTTGTCATTGCATACAAGAAAAGGTTCGGAGGCTTCAAAGCCCTTTTCCTTCATTATGGCCTGGTGCCTAGCAAAAGTTCTTACATGGCTAAACAAGGTGTCCTTCGTCTTGCTCCTAAAGTGGCAGACTCTACAGAAGAAAGGCTGATCATCATTTGGCACGTGCTGTTTGTAGATGTGCTCCTCTAACCGACTCTTCGAGTTGATCTCTTCTCTACCTTTCCTTAAACAATGCAAGCACTGGTATGCTCTTCCCCGGGGATGTGTTTTCCGTTCCATATCTGAAAAATAATTGATGATTTTAGGATCACCATGCATCTGTTGCATAACGCCAGCCCCATTTCGCGATAGAAATATAGGTTCCTATGTTATAAACGAGCGCCATCTCTGTATCACGATTCATAGGTTCTTCGGTGCTGTATTACGACGACGTCTTTGACGCAAAACCCCTTTTCGCAAAATGCCGACACATGACGCACGACCACACGACGTATACTTCGTTTTTTAATATGTACTAATTATACCTGCAACCCCTAGACCCTGGAATATTCGCTCTTATACATAAATGTTTTTCTTGTAGTATACCTGAGGAACACCTGGTTGTGTAGATTTAACTGACATTGCTGTAAAAGGGAAATAACTTGAAACTGAAATAAAAAATATAACAACACACAATTTTGTAAAACTACTTTAATGAGTAATTAAATTTTCATTTTCTTTTTCAGCGCCTTGATCCATCTGGGTACACTCGTACCTACATATGGTTTTAGTTTATCATGATGGACCAGCTTTCCAGAACCATTTCTTTCGAACTGTAACACATAATTCAATGGCGACTTTTTTTCTATCACCACAAACGGACCATCATATTTCTTTTCTAGCTTTGGTGCAACACCAGGCTTCTTAGTTTCATGAAGGTACCACACTAGATCCCCTGGATTGTAGATGTTTAAATGACCTTTGACATCATAGTAAGCTTTGCTGTGTTCAGCAGATACCTTTAAATATTTCCTCGCTAACTCGTGTGCAAACAACATGCGGTTTCTTAAAAGCTCAACGTAATCACCAGGCTTGCTGGCTTGAGTATGTGGTGGTCGTCCGTAGATGATGTCTAAAGGTAACCTGATTTCGCGACCAATACTAAGTAAGTTTGGGGAAAGCTTTGTCGATTCGTGCGCAGTGGCTCGATAGGCCCCAGCCAGGCAACCTAGGTAAAGGTCCCATTCATCTTGCTCTTCAGCAAGATAAGCTTTTATCATCTTGACAATCGTAGCATTAAATCGCTCTGTGACCCCATTGGATCGCGGGTTGCGAGGACTTGCACGAGTTTTCCGAACATCAAGCATAATGCATAATTCTTTAAACAATTTGCTTTCAAATGCTGCACCTTGATCACTGTGTATGCTTAGAGGTGCTCCCCATCTTGAAATGAAATCGTTGACGATTCTAAGCGCGCATTCATCAGCTTGCTGGTTAGGCACTGCCATGACCTCAACATACTTCGTGAAATGATCCGTCAGGACAAGTATATATTTATTCCCGCGTTTTGAAATTGGGAAAGGACCAAGATAATCTATCCCTAATGTATCCCAAGGCGCACCGCTACGCAAGTGTCCCATAGGAGCTCTTGGTTTTTTAGCCGGAGCCTTGTCGGCAGCGCACGTGTCACACTGAGCAACGTAAAGTTGAACATCGTGTTTTAAATGAAACCAATAAAATCTTTGCATTATCTTTTCTTTTGTTTTCTTTACACCTAGATGCCCAGATAACTTTGAGTCATGCATTTGTTGCATAATTTCTTTTTTCAAACAGTTTGGAACCAGAAGCTGACGAAACTCGCCTGAACCGTTCTGCTTTTGAAATGTCTTTATCAAGATTCCATCTTCGATGAAAATGCAATCCCATAAAATCCAAAGGTGCCTTGTTGCGGCAGATGCCGTCTCCATATCTAAGCTGCTAGGTTTGTTTCCTTCAGTTTTTGCTTTATAGATAGGGCCCAGGTCAGGATCATTTGATTGTTTAGCCGCAAGCTCTTCAGGCCTGATAGTAAACAGCCAGGTACCCTGCTGGAGAGCACGTGGGTCAAAATCAGATGAACAAGGCTGTTGTCCGTCTTCGGCAACAACAACTCTGGTCTTTTCGTCTGCTTCGCTGATGATATTGGAGATCGTACCTTGTGGAGTATCCTTTACATTAACACTTGACATCGTGGATCTCATAATTTCTGCACGTCTTTGGCACTTCTTACAAGGTCCACATTTAAAGGGCTCTAAATTATCTACTTCCGGGCACTCGCAGTCTTTCGGATTCTGACATCTAGAAAGTGCGTCACAATGACCTTGTTTTGACCCTGCTCTGTATTCAATAACGAATTCGAATGGCGCAAGAATTTCCAACCACCTTGCAACTTTTCCATTCGGCTCCTTCAGACTGAATAGCCACACCAGGGCTTGATGATCTGTACGAACCACAAATTTTCTTCCTAACAAATACTGCCGGAAGTACTGAATAAAATACACAACTGCTAGCAGTTCCTTCTCAGTAATGCAGTAGTTTCTTTCAGCTTTATTCAAAGCCCTACTGGCGTAGGCAATTACTCGCTCTCGACTTTCTTGCATCTGGTGCAGTACCGATCCAATACCGACACCACTTGCATCGACATCTAATATGAACTCTCCGCCATCATTCAAAGGATATCCCATAATTTCCGGTCCCGTCAAAGCTGCTTTCAGCTTGTTAAAAGCTTCCTCACACCTATTGTCCCAGCTAAATGCAACTCCTTTTTTAGTAAGGTCTACCATAGGTCTAACTACAGTTGCAAATCCTTTAACAAACTTTCTATAGTAACTTCCGGTTGCCACAAACTGTTTAACCTGCTTGGGATTTTCTGGTCTTGGCCACTGCAAGATTTTGGCTATATTGTTTGGGTCAGGTCTAACTCCATCCTTGGAAACTATATGACCCAAAAACGTTACTTCGGTCTGAAGTAAAATGCATTTGTTTGGTTTTAATTTCAACCCAGCCTTCTTTATTCTATCTAATACCTCATCTACTCTAGCAATATGTTCTTCGAAACTTGACCCGTATACAATTACGTCATCAATATAAATAAGGCACGTGACCCAATTCAACCCTCGGAGGGCAATCTCCATACAACGCTGGAACGTACTTGCTGACCCATTAAGCCCAAACGGCATTCTTTTCATTTGAAAC